CAGAGAACAAATGAGACACAAAAACACATAAGGATTGAAAAGTATCCAATGAAACTGACAAGTCATCAAATAAAAACATCAATGAAACCAAATATAGTCTAGAAGTAAACCTAATTATATATAATGGAAAAAGCACAAAATGATAAAAGATATTTCAAATCTTGGAGGGAAAAGATGGATTATTCAACAAATGGCACTGGGGCAACTGGGCTATCATCTGGAAAACATAAAACTAGCTCTCTACCTTACACCATAATAAATTCCAGATGAATCTGTTAAATGTAAAATGAGAAACCACACAAGTTCTGAACCAGAAGAAACCATGGGGAATGTCTGTATAATGTATAATGCATATGTATAATGTATGAACAGTGCATAATGTATAATGCATTTCTGATTATGACACAAAACCCAGAAGCCACACAAGACTGATAAATTAACAAAACAAAACAAAAAAATGCTGCATGGCAAAAGTCCAAAGGCAAAGGAAAAAAAAACCCCTGGAAAATAAATATTTGCAACTTCTAAAGACAAAAGGACAATTTCCTTGAAACTTAAAAGAGCGCCTAAAAAAACAATAAAGATCAACAACCCAACAGATATGGGCAAAGGATATGGACAGCTTGCCAAAAATAAAGGTTCACTTTAAAAAATATTCAACCTCACTCAGAAAAGAACTATAAAATAAAACTATACTACACAGAGATGTGTTTCTCACCTAACCAAACAGCACAGATCTGGGGAAGGGGACAAGGGGTGCTAACCTTTCATACTAGCTGAAGGTACATGAACAGGTACTCACACACTGCTGTGGGAATTCCAAAAGGTGGATCTCGGCAGTACCTAAAGTAATTACAGAAGTGCAGAACCACCAATCCCACTTCCAGGTTTCTATTCTGTAGATACACTTATGGAAATGAGAAAGGTCATACATACTGCTTGTCATATACATTGGGTTCGTCAAAAAGCCTGTTATGTTTTTTTCTAGAAGACGTTTTTCATTTTCACCAATAACTTCATTGATTTGGACATTTTGAATATGTCAGCTATGTTCCACTCTTGCCTTCTAGTGGGTAGAGGCCAGGGGTGCTGCTCAACATCTTTCAATGCATAAGACATCCCCACAGCAAAGAATTATTTGGCCAAAAAGTCAACGGTACCCAGAAACTTCACAAATCTCACTTTTGACACGTTTGATCAGTCAGAGCACCTTCTCTATACACTGCACAAATCTTTTCTTGCATTTCAGTTGCATTTTTACCTTTTTTGAAATTATAAAGCGTAATACGCTAACAATGTTGTATATTTTCTTCCATCTTCAATATTAAAATGGCTGCACAAAAATTCACCAATTCTGGTAAGTTTTTTTAAAACGCACGCTGATATGACAGCTGTCACAATACAATCTAACATTATTGTTTCAAATGAAGTTAAAGACAACTAAGCACTAGTAGAACCATCGTATGGAAAAAACGTAACAGACTTTTTGGCCAACCCAATAGATGACACATACGTAATATGTCGAAGACACTGAGTTGTCTGTAATGGTAAGGTGGGAACAAAATGTCCACAGATAGGGACTAATTAAATAACACATAAGCTAGAATGAAAAAGCTGTATGAACTGATTGATACGGAATGCTCATCAGGAAAGACTGCCAAGAGAAGGGGACAGACCATGTGGGTAGTAAGATACCAGTTACCGATTTGTTAATACAGAGTCTCTCTGGAAGACTGCACAAGCAGCAAAGAGGGGGATGGCTGGACAAAGGGTAAGAAACCCAAAGGAAGACCACTACCCACAACGTTCCTGCACTGAACACTCTAAAATCATTGTTTCAACAGCCCCTTTAAAAAAAATCAAGTTCCAGCATCATGATCCCTACCGTGAGGATTCTGAAACACAAAGGTGAGAGGATACCATTCTCTAAATGTACTGAAAACCAATGAATTGCATTCTTTAAAGGGGGTAAATTTTATGGTATATGGGCTAAGTCTCAATAAAGATGTTATTTTAAAAACTAAGCATATATGGCCACAGCACAGTATCACTTAGGCAGAGAAAAGACTATAAAGGATAAACTTAAATTTCCCCCCAAACTATGGCTGTATATTTAAATAAAAAGGAAGCACAGAGGCAATGTGAGTCTAAACCAACCATTATCACTGTTTCCCATTGTGCCTTGAGAGAGAGCACACCTGCAGTACCTGTCAGCTTCAGAGTACAGTAAAGCTACTGCAATCTACTACCAGCTCTACTGCTATGAATACCTTTCTTTCTGAAAATAAAAATGTCTGTTTTACATTCCTCACACTTCTAAACTTCACCTGCAAGTTCTCAACAGCAGTAAGAACTTTAAAATAAGATGGTAAGGGTTTGGAAGAGCAACTATGTAAAAGAAGTGTCACTTTAAATAGGATTAAAGGATGGAGGAGTCAACATCTTTATCTCTAAAAGATAAACACAAAATCTCTAGGACCAGAGTTTAAAACAAAATACAATAGTTTACAAAAGAAATATAAATAGAGCTTTAATGGAGTTGCTTTCTCAGGATTACACTAAATATTAGATTAAGAGAAACTAAGGCAGCAAAATACTTAAACACTAGGTTTCATCCAAGTTGCTTACTCCGAGCAACTCAAAAGAGTTTCTCAATGTCCAGGCTTAACTTTAAAGCAGCACAGGAACAGAAAGTTAAATGAACATTACTGAAATGAGTTTAGCAGTGATACAGGGGATGTAGGGAAAACTAGTTACCACGGTTGTTTAGAAATAAGGAAGCAATAGCCCTAAGGTTACTCATTACAACCTCGTTGTTAAAGGTCAGGCAGAATTCTCCAACTTCCCAAGGATGAGCAAAAAAACTGTTAATTCTAAGTTAAGTATCCAACAATCAATTTAGAAAAAAATGAACACTCAAAGAGACATAAACATTTCACTCTATAACACTGTGTCTTGCTCAAATTAGCTTTCCTCTGTAAAAAGCCAAAGAGGACAGAAGGAAGTCCTCACTGCACATCTGCTGGGCAGTTCACATGTGACCTCATGTGACCCTCCAAACAAGTCCATGAGGCAGGTAATTTGCCTTCCAATAGGGAAACACGGGAGGACGGAGGACTCTGGCCAAGGTCACTCAGTTGGTCAATTCAGTGCCCATTTGGATAGGGAGTGGGAGAATAGATAGATCAGCCCCTTCATCACATCGAAGGGATTTCTGACTTGACAGAAAGTCTCTCTCATGATATTTTCTCCCTAGCTTTTAGCTGATTGCCCCACCAAAATAATGACCACCATCTTCTGCTTTTAATAAAGTGATGCATCTGCACGCAAAAGACCCTCCCTCGAGAGCCGAATACAACTGGAATCACAGCCATGGATATTATCCATGTCTGGCATTTAACCTGAAGACTAAAGTGACCTTAGGGGACTGAAATCCCATGAACAGGTGACAGTCCACTGGCACCCCAATGCTTACTGAGCTCCCTACAGATCACCACACTGCCTGGGACCCAGCTTTCCTTTGCTGTAGCTGGGGTAACATTTTTCTCCATAGTGCACTACATGGGTGGGATTTGCACACACACTTAAAAAGAAAACCAGCCTCAGAGGTCAATGTCACCAAGAAAGGTAGGACACAGATTAAAACCAGCGCAGGGACCACAACCACTTCTTAGAGGAAGACATTAAAAGAAAAGCCACAATCCAAGGCTGAAAGATAGCTTAAAACCACCAACAACAATCAGAGAGTATCAATCATTTAACTTAAAAGAGCTTAAGCACCGTCAGAGAAAGACGCTCAGCACTACTGGTCCTGACTGTAACCTCTTGTTTCCCAATGTCAGTGTGTAATCGTAAATATGACACACTTGGTAAAGAAAAATCTTTCTCGGAGCAGTTTTGGCACTGGGTCCCAAAGGTCCGTTAAAAGTAAGTTTGAGCCCCACTTTGTTTACTCAGTTTTGAAACATTTAGACAAAAGTTCACATTTCTAAGTGTATCACCACGATGCCCTTCCTGTTTAATTTGGAGACTGGAGATCTCTAACTTAACCTAGCATTCCTTAGGAGACTCAACACCCACAACACCGTCAACACCCACAAAGGAAGGCCTTGAGAAATAACTGTTTCACATGCCACTGTCTGTTAAACAGAAACAGAAACATAGGTACGCATGTGCATTCATAAATACACATACACACGTATGAACACACTCATAACACATCCATCAATATGCATACACACGCATGCATGCACTCACGAACACATGTGTACATGTACTCACACACCCGTGCCCCCGCCGCGCTACCCCCCCCTACCTCTCCAGCCGCGACACCCGCCCACTTAAGGGAAATAGACACGCAGGTTTGGGGTGCCGCACGACACCCGCGAATGTCTGCGAACGTTCTAGTGCCTTCTCATCTCCATCTCATAATGGCTTCCTTTTCTAGTAATAAACAACAGATTTGGAGAAACCAATACGACACAATGTGTAAATATTATCTCTCGCTCAAGAGCCCGATTAAGAGGACAAAGAGCTGAAAGAACCGCACAGGAGCCACGACCTCTGACTGGGTCTATCTGTTCGTCTAGGGGAGCCACGAGCGTGGCCTGCCTTCCCGCGACTGACCCCGGGGAGACGGATGCCACAGCTCCAGGGCGTGAAGTGCCAGACAGGTCTTGGGGTGCAGACTTTGCGGGTCAAGAGGCGGGACGGGCACAGGGGGAGGGTGGGGGCTTGGGGTACAGGGTGGAAACTTGGGTTACAAACGTGGAGGGGGAAATTGGGAGGTGGCGACTCCGGGCACAGGATAGAGGCTTGGGGTTTGGAGTAGAGGCTTGATGGGCAGGTAGGCGTTTGGGATCCCTAGAGAAAGCTTGGGGACCGAGTGCAATTTTGAGGTCCGGGGTGGAGACTAGGTTGTGGGTGGGGTTTGGGGGAGCGGGTTGGAGACTTGGGGTACGGGTGGGGGCGCCGGACCCGCCTCCCGCGTAGGCACTCACCTTGTGGCAAGACGGGCAGGTGGGCAGCGCGCTCTTGCCCCCGTGGCCTCCGCCGCCGCCGCTCAGGCTGCTCTGAATCTGCGTGAGCTCCTGGCGCAGCACCTGCTTCTGGTGGAAGCTGAAGGCCGGGTGGTTGGAGGCCATGGTGAAGAGCAGCAAGAACTCATCGCCCGTGCGGCCCTCGTTGAGCTGCAGCCCGTAGTTGTGGATGATGGAGTCGATGTGCGTGAGCGTGCGGTAGAGCACGCCAGCCGCCTCGCGCTGCTCCGAGCCCAGCAGCGCCAGCGACACCAGCAGCTTGCTGCGCACCACCTCGTCTGTCAGGTTGGTGAGGCTGCCCAGGTCGGCAGGGTTGTTGGCCTTGATCTCTGAGTCGCGCAGCGAGTGGTAGTCCTTGCGCGCCAGGTCCTCGAGGCAAGAGCCGAGGAAGCGCAACTCGAGAGGGATGCACAGGTCCAGCAGGCCGCACAAGAACTCCACGCGCTGTGGCGACGGCAGCTCCGAGAACCAACGGTACACACCGTCCCTCTGCAGCGGGCAGCGCTTCTCCACCATGCTGCCGCCCGTGCCGCGCCGCCGCCCGGGGCCGGAGGCCGCCGCCCGGGGCCGGGGGCGCGGGGCACGGCGGGTGCGGGCGGGGGGCGCGGCGGGCCGGGGCGCAGCGGGGCCGGGCGACGGAGGGCGGGCGCCGCGGGCTGGGCCGGGGGCGCGCGGCGCGGGTGAGACCCCCGCCAGGGGCGGGCGAGTGGGCGCGCGCGGAGCGCTTGGGGGGCCCGGGGCGGCCGGGGGCGGCGAGCGACCTCGGGCCCCCCGCTCACGGGCGGGCTCTTGGCCCGCGCCCGTCCCCAGCGGTGGCCGGTGCGCGGCGGCGGCGGCGGCAGCTCCTCGTCGTCGTCGTCGTCGTCGCCCGGGAGGCGGCCGCCCCCATCTCCCCCCGCGCCGCAGGGTCTGTCACTGCGGGCCGCCCCCCGACGGAGCCGCCCAGGCCATGCCACCGCCGCCGCCGCGCTTGTGCTGGCCGGCCGTTACTAGCACGGAGGCCGCGGGCGGATGGACAGGCGCCTTAGGAGCTGCGATGGAGGGACACGCGGGGCGCGGCGCGCGGGCGGACGGCGGAAGGATCTGCGCCGGCACTCGCGCGGCCTCGCGCCCAGGCTTCTCGCGCACAGGCTTCTCGCGCACAGGCTCCCCGCGCCGCGGACGGATCCAGGCGAGCGCAGCCGTGCTCACTGCTGACGGATACCGGGATGAGGCTCAAGTGGGCGGGGTGGCTGCCTCTCGCGACAGCGGGGCCGGCAGGGCCCGCCCCCCCCGCTGATTGGCTCGAACTGCTGCTTCTAGGTCCGTGATTGTTTCGGGTCCCCAATCTCGATTCACCCCCGGCGCGGCCACGCCTCTCTGAGGATGTCGATCAAGTTGGAACTCCCTTGTCCTTCCCCTCCGCGGCGAGCGGAGTCGATTGGTCAGTGGAGCCGGAGGGGCGGAAAACGCGGGGCGGATTTCTGGTTGCTTTTGTTCCGATAGATTTGCGTGGAGCATTGTTTTAGGTAAAAGCCTGGCGTCCGACCTGTTTTATTCCTGAGCGGCACAGTAGGAAGATAGCTGGTGTCTTCGAAAAGACACTGGAGCTGGGCTTCGAGGACCCGAGTCCCCATCCCTGCTCTGTCTGCTAAGCTGTGTGACCTTGGGCAAGTGGCTTGGCCTCTCTGAGCCTGGCCACCTTCTAAGAAAGTGAGAGTGAGGGTAATAATAACCGCCCTGGAGGCTTGTGAGCTCACAGAGGGCGGGCGCCCTCATTTCTGAGGCTATTGGCCTGCCTTGGGCATGTGATGGGAACAAGTTTTCTCCGTTAAGTAAGCTTCCTTTCAGTGGGTTACTACCTTAGTTTAGGAACCAGAGGATGCAAATAGGCCACAGGTCAAAGACCAGGTGAGCCATACCCTCCCCTGGCATTTGAATAGGCACCAGATTACGGATTGGGGAAAGGTGGGGCATCCAACCACCTTTAAATTCTGCCACTGCAGCAGCGGTCCTACCATCTACAAATAAGGAAGCTGAAATCCAGGAACAAGAAATTCTTTCCGCCCTTGCCCTACATCTAGAACCCTTCTTCTGATGTCTTGTGATCAAGGGTGAGTCTTTTCCCTCAGCAACGCAATGGAGGCCTGGCATGTACCAGATTCTAAGCCCTGCTGGGCAGGCATAAACAAAGTCGTGCCCTCACTGCCCTAGGGAGCTTACAACTTGGTTCTGGGCAATACACAATAGAGAATCATTTAATAAATGAATTTTTTCAGGCATGATCCCAGGTACTAGAAACTCCCTAACAAGACATTCTCCATCCACCCTTCGGACTTCATAGTTGGCGGAAAAAGAAAATTTGCTTTCCACCTCTCTCTACACCTTGGACAAATTCTCCCAGAGCCACCCTGGTGTTTGGCAAGTGTGTGAAGGAGCAGGAATCCAGGACAGCTTCCCCAGGGCATAAAATTCACATAGGTAGCAGGGGAGAGGCTGGGTCCAGCTGGGTCTCTCTACCTTATTTTCCCAGTCCAGACAATTTCTACAAATAATTGAATCAACCTTTGTTTTCTTTGTCCTCGCTTTTTCAAGTGACTAAGGAAGCAGTCACATTCCAAAATCTATTATGCGAGGGAGTGAAGGAATATGAAAATTAAGACAGTTAACACCTTTACCTTCTATTGATGAATTAGTGCCTCAGGATGGAAAGATCTTGAGATCTTACCAGCATTGGGGCTCCTCAAATCCAGCCCAGCCTGGCTGTGAAAAACCCTCAAGCTCTGGTGCCAAATCAAACTGGATTTCAGTCCCAGCTCTAGCCCACTGGGGCACCTTGGCTGTTCACTCAACACCTCTTAGCCTCAATTTCCTCATATGTAAAAGAGGAACCACGCCCCACCTCCAGCTGACAGTGGAGCTCCAGATGTTCAGGAGCCCCCACTAACTAGGACAACTGAAGCACAGAAGTCACTAGATCAAGATTCCCCCGCTCCCTACAGCCTTTTTTTTTTTTTTTTTTTTTTTTTTTTTACCACTTCTTGCTGTGCTATTTGCTACCTAATGTTTGCACTGGGTTGAATAGTGCCCTCCAAACGATCATGCCCGCCCATAACCTCAGAATGTGACCTTATTTGGAAGTAAGATCTTTGTAGTTATAATTCAGGTAAGAATCAAGATGAGATCATGGATTAGAGTAGGCCCTAAACCCAATGAGAGTGTCCTTCTAAGAGACAGGAAAGAACAAGCAGAGACTCAGAGAAAAAGGCCATGCAGAGATGGAGGCAGAGATTGGAGCCAGGAATGCCTGGAGCCACCAGAAACTGGAAGAGGCAGGAAGGATCCTTCCACAGAGCTTTCAGAGGGAGGATGGCTCTGCCCACACCTTGACTTTGGACTTCTGGCCTCCAGAGTTGTGAGAGGATACATTTTTGTCGTGTTAGGCCCCCAAGTTTGTGCTTATTTGTAATGGCAGTTTCAGGACACATAACTGTGTCATGTCTCCCTCAACTTCAGTCCAGCTCAATTTAATGCAACTAAATGGATAATAAAATGTTACCCTATAGGATCAGACTCCAGTAAGGGTTTGGGGGCCTCTAAGGAGAATGCGATCCAGCCCCTGCAGTGAAGGAACTGGCGGCCTGAACTACCCCAAAGTAGACAGGCCCCCCCATGTGTAGGAGCTGTCCCTTCTGCACTCTGTTCCCTTCCCTGGGAAGCAGCCAAGGGTCTCCCAGGGCAGAGGGGTGGACACCCACCTGGCAGTCCTTCTGAACATCCCTTCTCAGGCCTGGCCCTGAGGCTGTACCTGCTCTCCCTCCCAGCCAGGGCTCCTAAGACTCCATCTCTGGGCTATTTGGAGGTTCTTGCTTTCCTGTTCTCTGCAAAATGTGACCCCTGGTTTCAACGTTTATTCACCTCTGTATTGACATAGTGGAGGGTCTGGGGGTCTGTGGGAGGAGGTTGGGGAGGGGGGTGCAGGGTAGGTCAGAGGGTAGCCATTCCTCCTCATGATCAACACTGAAGCTACAGGTATAAGGCAGGGCTGTGTGTTGAGATAGGGAGAGGAGTCCACACACAACACTGAGCGGGACAGCAGATTCACTTATTCCTTCAGGCCATACTTGCCTTGTGTTTAACTTGGGCCAGGGGCTGACAGAGCAGTGGGCCCTGCCATTGGAGAGCTCACAGTCTAGGACAGGATAGGACAATATGTCTGTCTGGATTTTCCATAGGCTGGAATCGAGCATAAATTAATACTATTTTGAAAGAGAGAGACTTGGAGTTCACAAATTCCCCAAACAAATGACTATGCAGCAGAGATACCATGTGCCTGGGATTATTTCATGTGTCTGAATCAGTGATACTAAATTACCAAAGTAGACGGTGACCATGCTGAGACCAGGTTGGCCATCTGAATGCCATGTGCAGCCCCTTCCCTCCACCCCCACCCTGATCTCCCCCCTACACACACACACACACACACACACACACACACTCACCGCCCCCCCCCCCCCCGCCACATAGCCTTCCTTTTCCTTTCTCATTTAGAATCGGGCAGAGAGGAGGAGCCTCGAGGCCAGGCTGGGATTAGGAAAATGAGAACAGAATTACTGAGACACAGATTAAGACAAAGATTTCTTTAACAGTTGGGGCTGGAGGTGCTCTCACAGGTTCGCTGCCTGGATCTGCTGCTTATTTTACCCCGGGAGTATGTCATCAGGATGCGTGGTCGCAAGTGGGATGGGTTTACTGAGTTTCATTTTTCCTTTGTTCTAGACCCTGCTTTCCTCAGCCTCTAATGTGGAAGCCTTAAGAAGTGGGTCCCTAAGCTTACTGATGGGGATCGCTGTCCAATGCCTCAACTCCTGATAGCCTCTTGTGACTGCCATTATCCCATGTGACTGGTTCTGGCACTGCTGTCATTGTTCCCATTTCACAGATGCTCAGTGGTCAGCCATGGGCTAGGGCCGTGCAGTTAATATGTTTTGGGACCAAATTCTGACCTAAGTCAATTGCCCAGACTCTGTCCCCCCAGGAGAAAAGCACAAAGGTGACGTCATTTATTCACTATTTCTGCAAAATGAAGACTCCAGAGGTGCCTGTCACATGCCAATTTTCCTAGCCGTGACTGCTGACAAAGTCCACCTGGAATCAGGAATGGGCAGTTGTCCCAAATTGCGTCCAGCCCTGTTTCTGCTTAGCCACATACCTCCCTCCACACAGACCTGCCTCCCAGGGGGTCTTTGGCCTTGGGCTAAGTGTGGTATTTCCCTGGTGGGAATTACCTAGGCTCTTATTTAAGGTGCAGATTCCTAAGCCTGACCCTAGGTACAGACTGAGTCAGACTCCTGGAGAGGGAACTTGGCCTCTGCGTTTGCCAGGTCCTGGCTGATCCCCATACTCTGGTTCAAAAACTGCTGTGGGGGTGAGGCCATGCTTTCAGGCTTCTAGGGTGCTTCTCTGGATCAGCCAACAGCAACCACATGATAACCAGAGTCTGTATTACACGCCTACCAGCCAGCAAGGATCCTCCCTATTGACAGATTGGGAAGCTGAGGCTTAGAGAGGTCACACAGCTAATGGCTCTTGGATTCTCATCATTAAGTTCTGCGGCCTGTTTCTGTTGTATATTTGTTTGTTTTTCACATTTCTATTGTGAAAACCAAC